CTGAATGTGCAAAGCTTCATAGGGTACTAGCTCGAGGTCAAGCTAATCCTTAAGGAACAATGCTTAAGGAGGATGGTACATATACAGACGGCCCAGAAGAAGTGCTGGAGAGCCTTTTGAGCGCTCACTTCCCAGGATCCTTACAACCGCAGAGCACAGTCTAGGTGGAGATAGAAAGAGAGACTAGGGTGCGGACGGTAAGAGAAGATTGGGCCTGCGCTAGGGCTGTGATTACCTATAACGGTATCAAATGGGCTCTTAGGGCATTTCAACCATTTAAAGCTCCTGGTACCGATGGCATCTATCCTGGGTTTTTGCAGGAAGGTGGGGACCAGTTGATACTCCCCTTGGTGCGTCTTTTCAGGACCAGCTTAGCCAGTGGAGTTATACCAACAGCATGGAGTGTATTCAAGGGTGGTATTCATACTGAAGCCCGGAAGGGATACATATGCTGTGCCCAAGGCTTTCAGACCAATCAGCCTTACATCGTTTCTCCTGAAGACCATGGAGAAATTAGTGGATAGACGAATAAAGGATAGGGTCTTGGTAAGCCATCCTTTGCATCCGAACCAACATGCCTACCAGAAGGGAAAGTCATGCGAAACAGCCCTGCATGCGCTGGTTAGTAAGATTGAAAGTGCTATCTCGAACAAGGAAATAGCGGTGGCTGCATTTCTTGATATAGAAGGAGCTTTTGACAACACCAGTACTCGCTCTATTGTATCAAAGCTGGTGTCAAGAAATGTGGAAAGCACTGTAGTGAGGTGGATAGGCAACATGCTCGAAAGTAGGAGAGCGCAAGCTTCTCTGTGTGGGACGGTGAGAGAGGTCAAGGCCCAAAGAGGGTGTCCACAGGGTGGCGTCTTGTCACCAAATCTGTGGAATCTGGTGGTTGACGATCTCCTGTCCGAGCTCAATGCACAGGGCATGTACGCTCAAGGATATGCTGACGATATTGTTGTACTAATAAGAGGAAAATTTATGAACACTTGCCTGGAACTCATGCAGAGGGCACTGTCCATAGTGGAGAGGTGGTGTAACCAGGAAGGTCTGAGGGTCAATCCAATGAAGACTGTAATGGTACCATTTACAAGGAAGAGAAATGTTGATATCGCTAGAGTACCAACTCTCTTCGGTAATCAGATCCAGGTTAAGAGGGAGTTCAAGTACCTAGGAATAAGGCTGGACGACAAGCTCACCTGGAACAGCCATTTGGCACATATAACGCAACGTTCTCAGACCACACTTATGATGATGAGGCGGGCTGTTGGGAAGACCTGGGGTCTAAGTCCACAGATGACTAACTGGCTATACACTAGGGTTGCAAGACCGATGATGGTGTATGGCTCAGTGGTCTGGTGGACCAAGGTAATGCAAACTACCGCTGTAAAGAGACTACAAAAGATCCAGCGAGTGGCATGCCTTAGCATCACAGGAGCCATGAGAGGCACTCCAACTGCAGCCCTGGAAGTAGTGCTAAACCTGCCACCTCTCGACATCATTGTGAAAGGAGAGGCAAGGATGGCAGCCTACAGAATGGCTTGTAGTGGCAACTGGAAGTATAATGCCTCCAGTGAGCACACAAGAATTGTAGACAAGGTGCAAAAGAACTCCTTGGAAATGCTACCAGACAGGATGGTGAAGATCACAGATCTAGAAAAACCATACAATGTCAACATTGTTGACAGGGATGCCTGGGATAGGGGTGAACCTGAATTCATGAAAAGGGGGATCACCTGGTATACGGATGGCTCGAAAAAGCCAACGGGCACAGGGGCTGGAATATATGGAGTCAGACCCAAGGTGCAGTTATGCGTAAGTTTGGGAAAAATGGCTACTGTATTCCAGGCAGAAGTGGTGGCCCTGTCTGAGTGTGCGAGAGTGTGTTTGAAGCGCGGTCTTATAGGCCACACTATATACATGAACTCAGACAGCAAAGCAGCACTAATGGCACTTGACAGTTTCGACTTTACCTCCAAGGCTGTATGGGACTGTCATCAAGCCATGAAAGCCCTGGGAAAGACCAACAGGATCATCCTTAGTTGGGTTCCAGGGCACAAAGGTATTGCTGGCAATGAGGGAGCTGACAAGTGGGCAAACAAAGGAGCTGAAAGCCCGCTCATGGGTCCAGAGCCGACGTGTGGTATTGCTTACAACACAGCACGGAGAGCTGTTCGCCAGTGGATGGGCATAGAACATCAAAGGAACTGGGAAAGAACAGAAGGAAATGTACAGTCAAAGAGAATGCTGAAGGCACCTACAGGTGCGATAGCGGCAGAAGCCCTTGGGCTGAGTAGGAAGACCCTGCGGAAGGTGGATGGCTTTATTAGCGGCCATTGGGTATTCCGTGGACATTTACACAAGATGGGAATTCAAGTTGAAAGCCTCTTATGTAGGAAATGTGGAGAGGAGGAGGAGACAGCATTCCACGTGATATTTATGTGCCCAGCCCTACAAGGTCTGCGCATGAGATCCCTTGGCCTATCGACTGGAGATCAAAGGGAAGAACGGGTCACCATTGTCAAAAGGATCTCACGGTTCACAAAGGACCTGGGATTTGACAAAGAATGAGGACCTTTGAATGAGGGTGCACAATAAGCTGTTCTAGCTGCGATGCAATCCCATGGTCACTTGAAGCCTGGCCCTCTATTAAAATACCCCCGCCGCAGCAAACCTGCAGACTTAGCGAATTTCCATTTGCCTGATTGGATTTAAACTAAAATGTCTCCTTAAAAATATCACATTTATTCCCTATTTAAACAGAATTAGTTTAATGAGTACTTAGGTTTGCTGCAACAGGGAGGGTAAAAAGGTTTTTTTTTATGTAGAATATTAAAAGTTACTGTGGTTTAGTAAGAAATTAATGTATTTTCCAACTTTTATCAAAATATGTTCATAAACAAGCAAACTACAACAGTTGACTTATTCTCCATAAGAATAACATGGGAATTTTAAAATTACAATTTTTTTGAATTTTCTCCGTAACAATTAGGCGCATAATAATGCTTCAATATACTAAATTATTTTTTTTTTTAAGCTCTACAAAATGGTTTAAAAAGAAATTGCGAAATTTTTTGTTTTTAGGGTCAAAAATGGGAAAAACCTATTTTTACCCCATAAAACCCCCCATAAACCCCCGTTCCCATAGTCCGATCATGCTGGTTTGCGAACTCATTCAAGTTTATCCCGCCTTACACCTTCAAACCAAATTTTATCAAAATCGGACAAAAATTACTCAAGTTATCGTGCGGATGGACACATATATATATATATATCTCTATATATAGATATATAAAAATTTGAACGAATGGTGTTTTTGGCCTCTGGGGACATCAAAATGAAAAAGTAAATCGGTCCCGGGCTTAGGTCTTACCATGAGACCTATGGTAATAGCTACTTCCCTATAGGGTAATTCGCTAAAAAAAAAAAAAAAAAAAAATTATGTGGAGTTCTTTAATGATTGAATGGTTCTGCCTATCTCGTCAGGTGTTGTTGGACGGAAGGAAGAGAGAGTGTTAAATGTGGTAGCTGGAGGATTTTGACCTATTGGTGGTGTGTTGTATCTGCTGTTTTGTTTTAATGTTTCCTCAGCTATGTTTACAAAATAATAATTAAAGCGGTTTGCTATATCTTTAGGGTCAGTAAGTTTCTTTCCATTGTCATTTAATTCTATTTTAGAATTGTTGTCAAGCTCTTTCCTCCCTTTCCTCTCACTATTGATGGTGTCCCATATGGCTTTGACTTTGTTTTCTGCTTGTTCAATGTATGCAGCATTTTTTTTTTGCCTTGCCTTTTTTATTTTTGTTTGTAAGATTTCTTCTTATCTGTAGCTATCTTCTTGTCATCAGGATGACCAGTTAGGAGAAATTTGTCTTGTGCTATTAAAAACTCCTTTTTAAGTGTCATAGTTTCTTCATCATACATTAGTTGTTTACCCCTTTTTTGTGTAGTCCGAAATCTTTTTTTTTGGACATGCATTATCAATTGCAAGCTGGAGCGTTTGGTTGAAATTAAAGTAGGCCTCTTCCACATCATTTGTTCTCAAAACAGGTTCCCACGTTACAGTGGAGAGCACATTTTTTAATATCAGCAGATTGTTGTGGTTAAGGTTCCGTCTTGATTTATATGTTGTTGCTGCATTTGTTTTTGGAAGGTCCAGTGTGCAGTATTGTCCTGTGTGGTCTGATAGACCTGTGTGAGAAATCACAACTTTATATTTGAACACACCATATCAATTGAGGATGCTTAGGTCTTTGAGATTCTTGTGGCTGGGAGCTCTAGTCTTCTTATGTTATACCCATCCAATAGCAAATTTAGTGTAACAGATTCTCTAGAAGCCTCATCCAAACTGTCAATGTTAATGTCCCCCATGATAAGTGTGTCAGTTCTCTGAGTAGGAAGTCTGTCTAGTGCAGAAGGTTTACCAACAGGGTGCAACACTAATATTTGTTTAAATTTATAACAACAGCTAATTTGAACCAAGCAGCAACAAAAAGCTGTGATACAAATGAGAACTGTCTAAGTAGGATTTTTTACAGTTATATATTTATTTTTATTTAATAAATAGTTTTTGATACTGTGCGAATAAGGCATTTTATTTTTTAAGTGCATAATCCATTAACTTATTTCCTCTCTTTTTTCCTATTTGTTTATAAAAATCTATTGTGTTTGTATGGTTTACGGAGTAGCCAGTTAATACTTTTAGTGGATTACTAAACGTTTATCTACATACAGCAGATCTATGGAACGTAATAATTATTCTCTTTAGCGTTCTCTTCCCGTTGCGAAGCACGGGTATGACAGCTAGTTAACTAATAAAAATTTACTATTAAAAGTCCTATAATTAACAATTTTGAAAGAGAAAATACTCTTGGATAACTTTTATATAAGTAGTCACAAGAATTTGCTAGAATTAAGCATCCTGCTTTCACAAATCACAGCCATAAAACTATAAACACTATATTAATATTATTAATATAATCTATTATTCATTTTTGCAGTTGGCAGGTGTTATTCTAGCATGCTGTCTAGCAAACGCTATCAAGAAAGAAGAGGAACTAAAGTAAGCCTAGAACTATTAAAGCATGAAACTCCACGCAAATGGAATGTTTCAAACTAGCAGCATGTTTTTCAAATTCATACTTTACTTGAAAGTTTTTTAAGTGTTTTGCTATGGTTACTGTAATTTGTGGTTTATTTGGGTATGTTTTATGCACAACCCAGCTCAGGTGAGACTGGGCAGCACATATCTGTACCTGTGTAACAGTAATAAAGCATTCTGAAAGGTTTCAAGTTAGATTTACATTAACAACATTTTTTGTATTATTTCAGCCAAAACAAAATTACATGAAAAGACTTTTTAACCCTTGTATCTAAGGCTACAACCAAAATAAATAAACAATTTATTTACATACTTACTGGAAAAGTATGGTATTTAAAAAATATGTTTGAATTTAAAAGCTGAGTCCACAGCTATCTGGTGACAGTGGCGGATCCAGCCAAAGGACCCCAGGGGGAACACGCCACGCGCCCCTTCGGACACCAAAAATGTTTAACTATCGGGTGGGCCTAACATGTATGTTGGGCCTGGCCTACACTCTTACCAAATAATTACTTAACTGCCAGAAATTGCAAAATTTATGTTTTTTCCATCTTAACTTACTTAACCCTGCAAGTGTATTCCACTTTAGTAGCTTTTATTTTGAGGAAGCAGTCACATTCGACTGAATAAAGGATATTTGCCTACTTCAGAATGCGTTGCACTAGATGATCCACTCCAATCCATACAAACTAGATTGAATCCGGTGTGACAGAAAACTGATATTCTAAGCTTTATTCCATAACCTGTCTTAAGATTACAGTTTAGTTTTGGAATGGTTTTGGCATTGACTTTAAATCATATGTATGTAATCTTTTCATCCTATTGTAAATTTTGAAACTCATTTTAAGTGTTTTTCATAATTAATTGATTATATATACCCAATATTGATAGTAAATGGTTTCTTATTAGTGAGGTTTGGGAGTGATGACTAAATGTTTTATTCTAATTATCTTTTTAGGGGGAATTATATTATTTTTTAATTTTTAGTGGTTTATTTTTTTGTCAAAATACTAGAGTTGTGCTAGTAGTGGTTTTCTAATCAATTGTTTTATTTGGTTTAAAGTTTAAATGGGATACAAATAAAACTAATGATAATAAATAAACTGCCTTCTACATAAACCGGTAGGATCTAACCTTGAAGTTGTCTTAAACATCTCGCGTGATCGTGTCAAGAGTCAAGAGATTTATTGGTCTAAGAACACAAAATATTACAGTGCATACGACCTTGTCAAGTACAATTATTAAAATAATAAAATTAAATATCACAGATTTAGCCTATATGAATAACAATAACACAGCTACCTACAAAAACAATTAACAGTATCACAGATTCAAACATCTTTCATAATACTCCTTAATACAGTAGGAAGGATTGTTGACTAGCAAAAGGTGAATGGCTTTTTTAAAACTAGGAAAAGGCAAACATCTTATATCTAAAGGCAAATGGTTAAAAAGTCTAACACCTACACATGAATGGCTTCTTAAAGTTTTAGCTAACCTAGCTTGATCAATATGAACATTCCTACTACTTCTAGTGTTATAGGAATGTATGTCATTATTAAAAACAAGACTTGATTCATTTGATTTTATAAATAACAATAACCTAAAAATGTACAAACAGATAACAGTCATATAACACCAGTTTCAGTAAAAAGAGGTTTACAGTGAGCTTTTTTCTTTGAGTTTGTTACTATCCTAATAGCTTTCTTTTGCAACAACAAAACATCAGTTATCCTGCCAGAGTTTCCCCATAAAATAATACCATAGTCTAACAAAGAATGAAACAAAGCATAATAAACAGACAATAAATAAGTAACAGGAACGTAAAATTTTAAAGTTTTTAACAAATATACGACTTTTGACAATTTACTGCAAACTAAATCTATTTGGCTATTCCAAGTTAAGTTACAATCCATTTGCACCCCTAGTAACTTAATGCACTTAACAAATTCATCTGAATAAGCAAGTCTACTATTTAAGGAGTATATTGCCTTTTGTGTTTTTGATTCATTAAGTTTAAAACCATTAGCTCTGAACCATGTAACAGCCTGATTAAGAGTTTCATCAGCAATACCATTCACAGTTGGCAAATCTTTACTTACTGTAAGGAAAGATGTGTCGTCAGCAAACATGATGGTTTTCGATGACTTAATAGTAGACGGCAGATCATTTACCATGACAAGAAATAAAATAGGCCCTAACACAGAACCTTGTGGTACACCAAATTTGACATGAGAAGCAGATGACTTTTTACCAGCAACATCTATAATTTGGAATCTCCCTTCCAGGTACGACTTAAAGAAATCAAGCTGAACGCCATGAAAACCCAGACACTGTAGCTTTTGACAAAGAATTAAATGGTCGACACAATCAAATGCCTTGCTCAGGTCGCAGGCAGTGATCTGAGCAAGGCTTCGATCCTCAAAACAACTGATTAAATCATCAACAATTGATAGAACTGCACTCGTAGTGCTCTTACCCATCTGATAGCCAAATTGTGAAGCACTAATTAGGCTCAGCTGATTAAAGTAGGTACATACCTGGAGTTTTACAACTTGTTCAACAACCTTGCCTAAAACTGGTACTATAGAAATCGGTCGGTAACTCTTTGGCACAGATTTTTCACCACTTTTTTTATACAGGGGGACCACTCTTGATATTTTAAGCTTAGAGGGAAAAATACCCTGTTTAAGACACAAATTAATACAAAAGGTTAGAGGAAGCAAAATGGACTTGATTACACATTTGAATAGATGATTAGAAAGATCAAAGATATCTTTACTTTTAGATTTTTTCATTTTTTTCACGACACTGAGCACATTTGCACATGACACTTCCTCCTATTTGAAGTTTTCTTCAGGCAAAGGTGAATTTTCCATGAAGTCAAGCGCAGTAGTCTGGGGTTGAATGATGCTGTCTCTGGCCTCCTGAACAGCTGAAAGGTAGTACGAGTTAAACTCCTCTGGGGGAATCTGGATCTCTGGTGACTTGACGCTCTTGCTCCGTAGATTATTTACAAGTGTCCAAGCAGCCTTTGACTTGTTGTCAGACGATTCTATGTATTCAACATTGTAATTAAGTTTAGCTTTATTAACCGCCTCCTTGTAAACTTGCTTGCTTTTCTTATATGCCAGTTCGGTTAAGTTGCTTCGCTGAACAAGGAACATAGTTCTGAAGGCCATCATGGTATTTTTTAGATGTTCCAGCTGAGGTGTATACCAGTTCAATTTAGGCACGTTTCGGTTAATAGTAGGTTTTCTCAAAGGTTTACGAGGACACACTTCATCAAAAATACCATAAAAAACCTTAAAAAACTTATTAAAAGCGGACTCAGCTTCTTCCTCTCCATGTAGAATTTGCATCCAATCAACAAAAAACAAGTGTTGTCTCAAAACATCGAGTCTTTTTTTAGATAAATTTCTTCCATAGGAAACTTTGGAGTTGGGCGTATCTGCACGTCGTTCCACGTTTAGGGTCACAGTAATACCCGAATGGTCAGAGAAAAAACAATTTACTACATCCATATTGTAATCTTGAGTTCGGTGGGTTGTTATGACATTGTCTAGACACGCATCTTCTCGAGTTGGAAGAGTGCTAATATATGTCATTCCAAATTCCTTTAACAGATTTTTAAATTTAATAACAGTAGGGCGTTCTGTTGTGACGTCAAAATGTGCATTATAGTCACCGCCAATGTAAACTTCACACTTAAAATTCGATAGACAGTTTAAAAGTACTTCTAGTTTATCCAAAAAGAGGTTAGGGTCTCCTTGAGGCGATCGATATAGACTATTATCTTTAAACTTAAAAGTTTGACCACCGCTACTTCAAATGTCAATTCTTCACAGAGCCAATTTAAATTTATTTCTTCGTAAGATAGGTTATCCCTGAGATACACAGCTACACCACCTTTGACATGTTCTTTTCTACAATAACTTGCAGCCAGCAAAAATCCATCAATCACCTCGTACTGTATGGCGTCATCCTTCTTCCAGTGCTCACTGAAACACATACTTAAATCATGTTGTTTCGTCATAAGGCTAAGAAAGTTTGATTTACCAGAAATACCTTCAACATTTAGGAACAAAGCTTTTACTATTTGTCCACTTGTATTAGCTACGTAGCTGTTAGATGTAGGCCTACTAAAAATACTCTGAAACGATTCACACTGTTCTCGTTCTACGGTCCCGAGTCTTGATGATAAGCATTCAAGTTTAAAGGCTCCTTATTTGCAGACAAGTTCCGTGGCACGAAGTTCCTAGTATTGTAGGCGTTTCTCGCTGAGTGTCTTCTTGGCATGTACTCTTTCACTAAAACTCCTGCTTCCCAAAAATTTGGAAATAGGACAGTTTCAAGCTCAGAGTCATTAACTCCAACTTTAAAGGATTTGTAAGTGTCATATCTTGTATTTAATTCGGTACAAACATGGTCCTTGATACTGTTCTCTGTTAAGTAACACTCAATACTGTCTTTTGTCACACTAGCATCCAACCTAGAAACGAACACCCAAGAACGCTTGCTCACAGCCTTTAATTTAGGGGAACCACTGGTTTTAGTACCAAAAATGGGCTTAGGCCTATTGATACTTTCGACTTTACTGCTGCTACGTTGTTCTTCTCTACTATTGATGTTTCTTTTCTTCTTCGACACGAATACTTCAAAACCATCGCTTTTTTTTAAGTGGTCTTATTAGGTTCTAGGCCTAGGCCTATATCATCCACTGGTGTAATTTCATTTGTCGATACTTGACTGCTTAAACCACACTTAAGTTTGCTAGCAAAAGAAGGCTTAGAGCCCTTGTCATAGGTTAAAAGTTCACTAATGGCATTAGCTTGGCAATCAATAGCAGATCGCAGTTCTTCATTTTCCTTTCTCATTAAGGCTTGTTGTTCACTTAACTCTTTTTGATTTAAACTCATTGTGAAGATTTGATCCGTCAGCAGTTTTATTTGATATTTAACAGAAAGATCTTCGTCAGTAAAAATAGTAGTTGTCTGAACCTGAACACTCTTACCTTCACGACTTTGAAGGTTATGTTGCCTACAAGTATCACACATCCAAATAGGTAGCTTTATTTCCCAGAGTTAGAAAACAGTTATATTCTTCATCATTTATACCGATACAGTCACTGTGAAACCATAAACAACATTTACCACCACACGAGAGTGCTCTATTATTTTTGGTAACATTTTTATTACAAGTACCACATT